GGATGTCATACACTATACTACATGTAGGCATGATCAAAGCCGCGGACTTCACTACAAATCAGACCATTCGCTTTTATTGGGCGATTTGCACGTCAGGTGCAACTGACGGTTCCAGTGGCCTTTTGTGCGCCCGGCTCTCTGGCCGTCATTATTACGTACATTGATCCCGCGACCTTTTGGTAGCTGCGATAAAAGGCTACTTTCCCTCTACATTCAGGGATTATTGTCTGGTTCAAAAGCACAACAATTAATATTTGTAAGCACAGATGTCGATACTTACGTCATGCTAAAATGGCAGTCTCATTCACAGGTTAAATCCGCCCTAGGTTGGTTGTTTGTTAGTAAAATAACTGGCTGATGTTTCTGCTACAGTCCGGTGTATGAGTTATGATCCGATGATTTCTGTGTCTCCTCGGGCCAGTCCGTTTATTATTCCCGTGTCTGAAGGGATGATGAGGTGGATTTGCCCGGGGAGGAGCCCGGCTCACCCCGCCGCTCCACTCCGTACGGCTCGGTACCAACATGTCCGTGGCCTTGGGAGTGGGCGGCACGTCCCCAGAGAGGACCCACACACAAACCTCTGCGGTGTAGAAAAAAACGGTGTGTTTTCCCGGGGGTTTTATGTACAGCCGGGCTGATCCGACTTTTCAGGGCTTAAGTCGCGATCCTTTGATGTGGAACATTGTGATGGCGGTGTACAATCCATGTTCACACACACGGGAGCAGCAAACAGCATTGAACCGTTGTTGGCTTATCCCCTCTGTTGTTGCTACTGGAATAATGTAGGGATTTTACATTCACGTTTAAATCCGGGTGATCCTTGCGGGTGGTGCCAAGTTTATCCCTGGTTTATGTCCTAGGCCTGACCAGGGACCGTTACCAAACGTACGGAAAAGGGTCCAAGCCTCAAAATTACTAACGGCATCATTGGAAATACACTACAGATTCAGTTTTATACTTAACTGATGTTTCTAAAAAGGAACAGATAGAATTGGATTTTAAATTAAATTCTCGCCAGGCTGTAACCTCGCCATTGTATGTCTGTGAAGTTTGCCTTCTTGACAGCGCAGCGCGCTGGTGTTTGACTTGTATGTTGGTGCGAGGTCGCTACAAAAATACGATGTCACAACTGCGTGTAACCGTCCGAAATCTTTCCGTACCATGTCATCTAACAAAGACCTAACTGTTCCTAGAAAATGTGCAATGGTTTTTCTTCTACTAAGTTCAGAAAGTCTCTCTCTACCATACTTTCAGTAAACATGAGTTGTATTTGCAGTGAACCCCGCCTCCCTCACACACCATAGGCGGCGTGTGTATGTGTGCACTCGACAGGGTTTCCTCACGCCCTCTCACAAATATCAACAAACAAACAGACGATTTTCTAGCATAACAACCCGTACTTCCCCCTTCTGAACCGCGAAGAGCCGCCGCCAGTCTTCCTAACCGCGACCGTGATAGCTCCTGAATAGCACAAGATGAATGGATCATTATGGTGGTCATTACGACTTCATTTGTGGATCCTTTTAATCGAAATTTGATCAACTGCAAAACTAAACACTGTGCCGTCCAAGTGCTTAATATCAATTAAGAGAGGTGCGAACTGCCCCTCGATTCAA